TGTAGTATGGTGCTGTGGTTCGGGTGCAGGTTTTGGCCACGGACATTCCTGAGTTTAGATTCTATCTGCTGCTTTGGGCTCTGTGCCTTTCCATAAGTTCATTTTGCTCTGAGCTTGTTTCCTCTTCTGTAAAATGGAGGAAATCATTCTGGTCTCAGAGTTATGAGGATGAAATGGGGTTTTGGATATAAAATGCTTAGCCTAGTGTCTGCTAAACAGGAAGTGCTTACTAAGTGGTGGCAGTAGGTATGATGCTACGAAGGGTTCTGAGGCTTAGACCTCTGCCCTCTCCCCAGCCCAGCCCTCTAATCAGCGGGACCCAAGACTCTGTAGCTTCTGACCCCAGAGCTTTGCTGGGCCTCCTGACCTTCTGTGTCCCCAGACAGCACCCAAGAAAACCTCATTTGGCTCACTGAAGGATGAAGACCGGATCTTCACTAACCTGTATGGCCGCCATGACTGGAGGTGAGATGGTGCCCTTAGCCTGGTGGGTCCCGAGGCAGGGCCTCCTGCTCACTGCCCTCTCTACTCTGTCCAGGCTGAAAGGTGCCCAGAGTCGTGGTGACTGGTACAAGACAAAGGAGATCCTGCTGAAGGGGCCTGACTGGATCCTGGGTGAGGTCAAGACGTCGGGCTTGCGGGGCCGTGGAGGTGCTGGCTTCCCCACTGGCCTTAAATGGAGCTTCATGAATAAGCCCTCAGATGGCAGGTGTGTGTAGGCAGGCAGAAATGGGGTTGCAGGAAAGACCTTGGGGGTGGCTGTGGCTGCCTGGGCCTTTGGGCTGTTTCCTTGGAAACTAAGAGTGAATGAAGTAGGAAAACATTACCAGGGCTCAAGTAGGAGGAACTCAGTTCTCTCTGCTCTTCCTCAGGGGAGACTTGAGGGGTAGCAAAATCAACACAAAATTTTGACTCAGGCAGTCTTAACTGATCAATTCCTAGCTCTGCCTTTTAATCATACAGCTTTGAGCAGTCTCCTGGCGTTCTTGAACCTCAGTTTTTTTATTTTGTAAATGGATATTGTATTGCTCAGGAATTAAAGGGCTAATGTTGATACAGCTTTTGGCCTGCACTTCGGTCAGCACATAGAAAGCAGACGATAAATGTCAGCTACTTTACCTCCTTTTGGCTCCAGAGATACGGTGGAGGTTCAGGACACACTCTTTGTGACCAAAAGCAGATTTGGGCTCTTGGGAAACACTAGGAGAGATATTTGGACTGAGCAGAACAAAAAGATTTTTCCTGTGGTCATAGCCACCCAAATATGAACTAGGCAGTGAGTATCCTGTCATTGGTGGTGAGCAAGCAGAACCCCTGGGAACATGTTGGGAGGACAAAGAGGGATTGCCTGTCAGAGGAGACATCTTTGAGGCTTCCTTGGGTGGAGTGGGGTGGCATGTGGTTAAAGGCCCAACCCTGGTGGCCCTGTAGCCTGACTCACCTGCCGATGCCCACAGGCCTAAGTATCTGGTGGTGAATGCAGATGAGGGGGAGCCAGGCACCTGCAAGGACCGGGAGATCATACGCCACGATCCCCACAAGCTGGTGGAAGGCTGCCTAGTTGGGGGCCGAGCCATGGGCGCCCGTGCCGCCTACATCTACATCCGTGGGGAATTCTACAATGAGGCCTCCAATCTGCAGGTGGGCAGGGGGAGGGGCTCAATGTGCACAACTCTGCCCCAATCCCAGGCACAGTTGTTAGATTTTAGCACCTAATTTGTCTGGGGTCGAACTAGGAGAGTGCTGTCCACTCCTGTGTGCCTTGTGTCGCAAGTGGGATGGGGCCCCCAAAGCCTCCTCCTCTTCCTGTATGTTCCAGAGCCTCAACTTGGGAGGTTGTATGTTCCAGGGCTCCATGACTTCTGGAATAGGAGCAGGCTGGGGAACTCACATGTGGGCATTTTTCCTGTAGAAGGGTCAAGGGGTCATTTCAGTAATTCTCAGCTCGGTGATGCCTGTAGTGATTGGTCCAGGGCCAACACCTCACACCTTTCTCCTAGGCTCCTACACAGCAGCAGTGAAGGGTGTGGGAATAATACCTGGAATGGTGCCTGGCACGTAGTAACGTTATGTGTACGTGTCAATATTACATGTTTGAAGATAAGCCTCCAGGGTCTTTTCTTTACTACAGAAGCAGTACTTGCTTGTTACAAAGAGAGGAAACCACACACACACAAAAGAAAATTATCCCACAGATCCACTACCTAGAGAAACTATTTGCCAGCATTTTCATTCTTTCCTTAAAGTCTTTCTTTTAAAGATACACATAGTTGGAGAATTTGTTAACTGTTACTACAAAAGTATGACCCACATTATAAAAATCCCCATCCCTCTCCCAGAGTGTCCTCTGCTTGTGTCCAGAGGGAGGTTTCGCTCTGGACTTTGGTGATGGACTTACTGGCCCTTTACCCATTCCTCCCACACAGAGTATTCTTGGGTTCTTGGGGACAGTGCCCTCACACCCCTGTCCCACAGGTGGCCATCCGGGAGGCCTATGAGGCTGGTCTGATTGGCAAGAACGCCTGCGGCTCCGGCTACGATTTTGATGTGTTTGTGGTCCGCGGGGCTGGGGCCTACATCTGCGGGGAGGAGACGGCGCTCATTGAGTCCATCGAGGGCAAGCAGGGCAAGCCCCGCCTGAAGCCACCCTTCCCTGCAGATGTGGGTAAGACCTGGCACCTGGCCCGATTGCAGGCCTTGTCCTGTGGAATCTGGTATCTGGCTTCATGTCCCCATTGGTCATTCTTAGGGAATTTCTGAGTTCCTTCTGGACTGGGGGCCAGACACAGAGTAGGGTGGTAACAACTTAGAGGCTCCACTAGTGCCACCTGCAGTCCCTCATCCTGTCTCAGACCCAGGTCAGACACCCAAGTCCTCTCCAGCCCTCCGGGAACAAGGGGCAGGGTGGTGAAAAGGCAGTGCAGCTCCTGCTGGCATCTGGGGTCCAGTGGGGGACAAGAATAACAAAGGGCTGAAAGTGAGGCTCTCTGCCACAGGAGCAGGACTGTGGACAGACCCCACTGCCAGGAAACCCACCCCAACCTGTCCCCACCCACTGGCAGCCACCAGTTTCTCATCCCATTCCCCTACAGGAGTGTTTGGCTGCCCTACAACTGTGGCCAACGTGGAGACGGTGGCCGTGTCCCCAACCATCTGCCGCCGTGGGGGTGCATGGTTTGCCAGCTTTGGTCGTGAGCGCAATTCAGGCACCAAACTGTTCAACATCTCTGGCCATGTCAACCACCCTTGCACTGTGGAGGAAGAGATGTCTGTACCGCTGAAGGAACTGATTGAGAAGCATGCCGGTGAGCCTAGGGCCAGCTAGCGAGTGAGGGACCAGGGAGTCCATGAGAAGGCAGGGTGGGAGGGCCATGGGAGCCTGGGCTGGGGTAGGGGCTGACAGAGGTCCTGGGCTCGGGGCTAGGCAGGTGTGCTGGCCCCAGCCCTGACCATCTATCCTTTTGGGGACTGACTGGGGCCCTAGGGGGTGTCACAGGTGGCTGGGACAACCTCCTTGCGGTGATCCCTGGTGGCTCGTCCACCCCACTGATCCCCAAGTCCGTGTGTGAGACGGTGCTGATGGACTTTGATGCGCTCGTGCAGGCGCAGACGGGCCTGGGCACGGCTGCGGTGATCGTCATGGACCGCTCGGTAAGGGCTGGCCCGTGCTCCCCACCCAGTCCCTGCCTTACGCCAGCCTGGTCAGTAACCCTTTCCTGGGCTTCTTGGAGAACTCTTGGCAGCTCTTGGGTCCCGGTTCCTGTAACCTGAGATAGAGTGAGGTGGGAGAGGAGGGGAGCGAGGTGTCCCTGGGGGAGAATGCCCGTGGGGTCTGGGCAGTGTGGGGTACCCAGGGAGGGTGGAGGAGCCGGCCAGAGTACTGCTGAAATCGGGAGGGTGTGTTGCTGGTGGGTGCTGAGGCTGAGGCCTTGGGTGCCTCCTTACTGTCCCGTCACCCTAGACAGACGTTGTGAAAGCCATCGCCCGCCTCATTGAGTTCTACAAGCATGAGAGCTGTGGCCAGTGCACCCCATGCCGTGAGGGTAAGTGCTGGGTAGGCCAGGGGCTGAGGTTCAGCCTGGACCTGGGCTGGGCACAGGACAGGTGGCTTGGGCTCTGGACCCTGAATAAACCGCTGCTGCTTCCCAGCCTGCCGTGGCTTCTTTCAGCCCCACCCTCCCCGTGACCTTCACCCCTTGAGTTCCGTCCCCCACATCCCCGCTTTGGGAGATCATCAGGCCCTCTCTTGCTGCCACGTCTACAGGTGTGGACTGGATGAACAAGGTGATGGCCCGCTTTGTGAGGGGGGACGCCCGGCCGGCGGAGATCGACTCCCTGTGGGAGATCAGCAAGCAGATAGAGGGTCACACTATTTGTGCTCTGGGCGACGGAGCCGCCTGGCCTGTGCAGGTACTCCTTGTTCTTTTGTGTCACTAGGTGGGGGTACTGAGAGCTCAGGGCATTGGGGGTTCAGACCCTGTTTCACAGTGTCCCCATCCCCACCCCAGGGCCTGATCCGACACTTCCGGCCAGAGCTCGAGGAGCGGATGCAGCGGTTTGCCCAGCAGCACCAAGCCAGGCAAGCCGCTTCCTGAGCCCGCTTTGCTGGTGTCATCTGTTTGAACGGCTGGACAATAAAGCAAGTGCTGCCCACTCTCTCACTGCATCTTCTCCGTGGCCTTGCTCTTCACTCTGCCACTGTGGCCTGTTACCTGTGGAGGCTTATTTCCCAGACAGGTGGAGATGTGGGAGGGATAGGTCAGCACAAGGTCCTGTTGTGAATTTACATCTTGGCTTCCTCTGAGTTAGTCTGTCCTAGACCACCCTGAGCATTTGTCCCTCAGTGCAGGAAGCAGGGGTTGGGAGGGGCAAACTGGCCTGTGGTCCAGACCTGGGCCTGGCCCAGCACAACCCTCTGCAAGGTGGGAGCAAGAGTCAGCCCACTCTGCCCTGTGAGGCGACGGGCAGGGAAAGAACAGGCTGTTTGGTCTGGTTTGGAGAAGAGGTTTATTCTTGCTTCATGATTTGGCAGTGGGGTGAGTTTGAACAGGCAGAAGGAAGGGAGAAATTGACTAGGAGCTGGGCATCGTGGGTGAGGCAGCTCCATGGACACTGCTGTGGGTCAGTCTAGGGGAGAGGCAGGGAGCAGGGCCAAGCCGGGTGCCCCTACTAGTCGCTGAGCTGGAGGGGCGCACCGTCCAGTGGATGCCACAGCTCCAGCCGGTGGTCACTGTGGCCCAGGCATTCATGCCAGTGCTGCTGGCGCTCCCCACTGGCCTGGCTACTCAGTTGCACCCCGCCTGGGTTGGGGGACAGGTCAGGAGCCATGTGGGAGCCCATTGGGCCCCCCACTCCAGCTACCCCGCATTCCCACTCACCAATGAAGTCGTCGGCTGTGCCCAGGTCATAATCCCATACTGATACCAGCAGCGTCTTCTGGGCCAGCTCCTCCCTTGGGCCTGCATAGAAGAATTCCTGCAGGGAAGAGGGCAGAAAGGCAGGAAGGAGGTGGCCTTGGGTTCTTCACAACTTCAGAAACGGACTCAGGCAGGTGAATGGCTCAGGTTAGCCAGGACCAGCGCTTTCTGACTGAGGCAGGATGCTGACCTCCCTTTCACCCCCAACGGCCCTGGCCTACCTCGTTGAACTCAGGGTTCAGGGTCTTCTTCCGAACACTGGTCTTGTATTTAGATTTCTTCCCCACATTTGGATGCAGGAAACTGGGAAGGATGGGGTGGGGTTAGGTGTGGCCCTGGAGAGGTTAGCTCCAGAGGGGCTCTAAGGAACCCACCTGCCCACCCCTGTTCACACTCACAGGCGGACAAAGGGGTCCGAGTAGCCATTGGCGTCCATGGGGGCGAGGTGGGCACAGCGCAGCACACCCACCAGCAGCCCGCCGCGCTGAGAACTGTAGCACAGAGACAGCAGGATGCGCCCGCGGTCCTCCCCAGCCGCCTCCACCTCGTCCTGCAGGGGTAGGCTGGGGTCAGCCCCCGGGTGGCCCACAGCCCAGCCACCCACCAGTATGGGCCTGGATGTGGGAACAAAACTGGCTGCAGAGATATTGAGGGCCAGTGATTCGATTTCATGATTCAATTTCCAGAAACAGCCACTGGCTTAGTGCCCTGGAAGGGAAATTCCAGGTCAGCTCTACTCTCCAGGGCCTGAGGAGGGGAGGGGCTTGCCCAGGTCACGTGACCAGTCAGTTCAGTGCATCTCTGTCGTGGAGGGGAAGGGAACTGATGTCCCTAAGGGCCACATACATGCTAGGAATTTCCTAGTGGCCTTCCATTAAGTGCCCATCACCACCCTCCTGTGGGGCAGGTCTCCTGCCTCGGAAGCAGCTCTCAGAGTCTGTTCTCCACCCAAGCACATACAGGTCTCTTCATCTACAAAACTCACCCTCCTCACCCCACCACCCAGGGGACCAGGGAATGTCTTTTGCCACACAGCCCCTGGTACTTCCAAGAGGACTCAGGGAGGATGCCTGGAAAGAATATGTTTCTCCCACACTTAACATGGGATTTGATTTGCAGAAAGCTCAACCACCTTGCTTGAATTCAGCTCTCAGTAAGGGAGTGCTCTGTGAGCACCCACCATGCACCACGGGGCTGCTGTGTACGGGTCGGGGGTCTGGAACAGGAAGTGCTTGTCGCAGGTGCCCGCCCCACCTGGTGGGACTCACCAGCCTGGCCCTGATTGAGAGCTGCAGCAGCTATGTGTGGCTCCACTAGGGGGCAGGGCAGCAGCACCTGGCCCTTGATCCTGGAGGAGCTGGGGAGGGACCTGCCTCAGCCTCGCAGGTGCTGGGTGCCTGCTGGGCTGCAGGGGTTCTGACCAGGTCTTTGGTTTCCCACTGCAGATCCCTTGCAGTCACTTTCACTGCCTCCCGACAAGGGCCTGTCTAGCCCCAGGAATGGCACCCACACTACCCCAAGGGCGGACCTAGCAGCCGTGGGACCTCACCATGTCCATTCTTTCCTGCACCTTGACCTGCCCTCCAGCTTGGCCAGATTCCACCAGTTTCAGCCTCTGCATCAAGCTGGCCTGTGTCTCTGCTCTTGAGAGCTTTACTTGTGCCAGTGCCCCACTGCTCCTCTGGGTTCCTCTCCTCTCTGCCCAGCCACGAGGGCCTGGCTATTCCCTGGGACCGTGAGTGTGAGAGAGATGGCCTCAGTTTCTCCAGGCCTGCCTGGGCCTAGACCCCTTCCAAGCCCACATCGGCCCCTGCCTGCCACATTTCAGCCTGGGCTGCCCCAGACCTACCTACCCGCCTCCATCCCTGTGTGGGTCCCGCCATCCTACCTACCTCCTCGTACAGAGACATGCCACGTGCTGCATCCAGGCTCTTGGGCCTCTTGGTCTAAAAGAGCAGAGAGCCGGTCACTTTGGCTGGACTGCCTGGCTCCTTCCCTGACCCCCCCTCCCACCCTATGTGCCAGCCCCACTCACCAGCCTCCGCTTCTCCAGACACACATCGAAGCTCCTGGCTCGGTTGGGCACCAGCTTCCTCAGGGGCACCCGCAGCTCCCCAAGTGGAGTCGCCCGCCGCCGTCGCCGCAGCCGTGGGTCCTCACACACGCACAGCCTGATGGCCACCCAGATCAGACCTGGCCAGGCAACACAACCCCATCCCCGGGTGGGTCCTGCCCCCTTGTAGCCCAGGCCCAATCCTCACCACAGGGTCTTGCGCTGGGCGTCCTGGAGGGTGAAGCCATGATAGGTGAGTGTCTCCTCCCAGACAGGCCCCCTTGTGCCCCGAACCGTGCGTGTCCGCAGCTGGCTGGCCTGAGGACCGGGCAGGGAGGGTCAGAGCCTTCTCAGGCCCCAGGGCCTCACCCTGGCCCCACTCCCAGACCCACTCCCAGCCCCTCTCCCTGACAGGGCCTCTAGGTGCACATCCCAGCAATGGGGAACTCTCCACCTGATGTCCAGGGGAGGAGGGGCATGGCAGGCCAGGTGGGTGCCCCAGGCCAAGTGTGCAGCCAAGGGGCAGCAGTGGAGGCCTGCAGCTCCCTCTCACCTTGCTGGCCCCTGGCAGCAGATTGGCTTTGACATAGGTGTCCACGGAGCCTGAGGCTGGTGGCTTGAGGCCCTGGGAAGAGAGAGTGGATGTAGGACAGGCCTGTGGCCCAGGCTAAGGGCCCAGGGATGCCAACCCCATCCTCACCTGGGCACAGTGTGCTGTGCAGTGCAGGGTGCTGTTGTCTGCATCAAAAAGGAGCGTGAACTCGAGGGTGCCAAGGGCAGCTAAGGGCAGGTGGCAGGAAGGGTCAGCTTCTGCCTCAACCCCCACCATGGCACCATGATTCCCACCCTGCCCCTTCCTGGTGGGTAGCGTGGGATGCCCCAGACCCCATCCTGGCTGGGCCCAGTGTCCCCCTTGTCCCCCGCCCCCACTCACTGCTGTCGTCTGAGTCTCCCTCTGGCTCTGGGTCCAGCTGGGGTGCAGAGCAGATGGCGGGGGTCACTGTAGGGTGTGGGTCTGGAGTGTGCAGGGTGGGCTCAGCGAAGGGGTAAAAGTGTGGGAAGTAGTCGGAAATGAGGTGGATGGGCCGGATGGGGCCTGGGCTCACGTCGATAGCCATGTGCTCCTGCATGCTCACCCGCCCTTGGCTCGCTGTCCCCCTGCCAGCCATAGGGGCTTGGACTTGGGGGCGGGACTCAGAGGAACCAGTGCGGACTGGAGATGTGGGGCATGCACCAGGCCAACCAGACAGGGCGAAGAGGCATCACCGAGGGTGCCCAGGGGGGTTCTGGGCAGCAGCTGGGACCTGAGGACAGAGCGCAAGGTCAAGGCTGGTGGGGTGGGGGGCTTGCAGTTAGAGTAAGGCCAGCTGGGCTACTTACCGCTCTGAGAGCTCCTCCACCCGCTCTGGTGCTCTGGTTCCCTGCTGGCGCTGGGTGTGCGCCTGACTTGAGGTGACCCACAAGAGAGCCAGAGCATGGCTGTTGGGGAGGGGAAGGGGCGGGACTCAGGACCCATCTCCAGGCCCAGGAGACTAGCATCTCCCTGCCTCCTCCCCAGGGTCCCTTCTCTGGTGTGCGGGCTCAGCCTCCCTCCTCCTCGCCCCCACTTCCTCCCCACCCCAGCCATTCACACACTGTCAGTTATTTTTACCTCCATCATGTGGCCCTGCTCCAGGTGACTGGAGGCCAGACTGGG